AAAGCATGCTCGGGCTTGGTTTCTGTAACAGAACTCTATTTGAATTAATTGATATATAAAACATGATTTTTTTTGTTTTTATCGAGCTCAAGACATTATATTGATTTTTTATTTTGAACTCTATTACATTTTAGCTAGCAGAAATAGAGCCCTATTTCTATTAGCAATTTAGACAATATATAAAAGAGCGATATTTAAGAACTCCAGCCAATTATTCTTTACTACATGAAATAATGCACAATGTAAGTTAAAATTAAGTCCAATGCTTACTGTTGTTTCAATTTTTTATGCCAATTATTCATAAGTTGAATGATGAATTTTCGTGCTGATCTGGCTTTTTATGCTTGTTATCAGGCTGTCCCAGGCGAGTATAGAACTTGGACATTCTGTTTCTAATTCCATAGCTTTTACCACTAGTAGACAAGGAGGATTAGTGGTAAGAGCTTTCGAATCGAACCAACCAATTTCAAGTCAAAGCAACCAAATGATTTTTTTGCATATCATCACTTTTCAGAAGTTTCTGAACATTTAATCATACCTCAGAAAAAATTGCTGTGTGTGTGTTTTTGTATGTCCGCAAATTTTTGTCCACGTTAGAATAGTTAATTAGTTTTTGGCGAAGAGTGTAGAAAATAGAAATCGAGTTTTTGAGAGAACGGAGTATCCGATTTGAATAATCCATAAAATATTAAATTTGTAATGATTAGGAGAAGTGGTGAATAATTTTTGGCGAAGGCAGGTCCAGCCGTTACGGAGATACTGAGCAAAGAGTGCAGAAAATACAAATCGAGTTTTTGAGATAACGGAGTATCCGATTTGAATGATCCAAAAAATATTCAGTTTGTAATGATTAGGAGAATTGGTGATTAGTTTTTGGCAAACGTAGGTCTGGTCATTTCGAAGATACTGAGCTAAATGTACAAAAAATGGCAGTTTTGAGAGACCTAAGCATCCGATTTGAATGATTCAAAACACTTCCTGCTTGTTTTGACAAAACAATTGCTTTTGGAAAAAAAATTAAAATTAAATAATTAAAATAATTCAAAATTTAATTTTAATTTTGGCTAAAGTTCTAAAGCTCACTTATATACTTTAAATAAATAATTTTAACTTTGCAATTCAGTTTACCTATATAATTCTTATAAATATTAGACAATGTTACAGTATTTATAATAATCTATTTGAAAACATTTGATATTCCTCGAACATTTTGTTACGGTACGGGAAGTTCTAGGAATTTGCCTTAAGGCACCATGCCATACACCATTAGTTTTGTTTCTATTTTTGCAAGATATATCAATGTGATATTAATTTGGGCTTTAAGATATAAATATTTGGTTTTCTTTTATTAAAAAAAATATACTTTTTAAATTCAATACATGACCAATTTTCTAGCCATCTTCCCCTAACCCCAATATTTCCATGTAAACATAGCCTCGTTTAGCGCTGTTTCGCACTACGCTCAACTTTTATGTAACTCATCCCCCGCGGAAGCGTAGTAATACTTTGCCTATA